GTGGTTTGAGAATCCAAAAAGTCTTCTTCCATCTGCCTCTGACTTTCCATAGAAGAAAAGCAAGATGATCACCATAAAAATTTTCCCCTTTTAGGCTTCTTCAGAATAATTCCCTAGTGAATAGTTGGTTAGTGGTAATAATACCTTGTATGATTTAAATTTGTTATAGTGAAGGATGCAGATTGAAGCCAATCTGAACAGGTAAAGCAAATCAAAGTATTAATGTGAGTGTCCTGAGGTGGATCTATATAAGTTTTCACTTTCACAGACCCTCATTTATGGGGCATGTAGAAATCCTCTACCATTACCTGTAAATCAATATGAAGTTTTCTTATGTTGTATTAGCTTCTACACAACTTACAACACCTTCCTAGACTATGGCTTTGAGAAAGGAATGCAAACAAAGTAGTAAAGTTTAATTTGCAGCAGAAATAGTAACATTTAGAGATTCTATATTCTTAAAAGAATATTGGATCTGGAGTAGAGAGGATGCTGACTTGATTTTCTTCTAGTCTACAAAAGTAATGGGAATAATTGGGCAAATCATCTTTTTTTTTTTTGTATGGCACTAGGGACTGAACCTAGGAGTGCTTTATTACTGATCTACACTGCTAGCTCTTCTTGTTTTTTAATTTCGAGACAGGGTCTCGCTAAGTTGCTGAGGCTGGCCTCCATCTTGTGATCCTCCTGCCTCACTTCTCAAGTCGCTGAGATTATAAACATGTGCCATCATACCTGGCACAAACCAGCATCTTTTTTTGAAAAATTTTTAATTTGTTTTAATTAGTTATACATGACAGTAGAATGCACTTATATACTTTGATATATCATACATAGATGGGATATAATTTGTCATTTTTCTGAGTATACATATTATAGGATCATATTGGTCATACAGTCACATACATACATAAAGTAATAATATCTGTTTCATTTTACTATCTTTCTTATCCCCACATCCCTTGCCTTCCCCTCCTTTCACTTTCCTCTACCTAATCTAAGGTAACACTATTCTTTTTTTTTTTTGCATTACAATTCTTAATACACATATATATCACAATTTTTATATCTCTTTTTATATATAAAGTATGTTGACACCCAATTCAAGTCTTCATACATGTACTTTGTATAATGATGTCCATCACATTCCACCATCCTTGATAATCCCCTGCTCCCTCCCACTCCTCTTCCCTATTTAGAATTCATCTATTCTTCCCATGCTCTTCTTCCCAATCCCACTATGAGTCAACCTCCTTATATCATAGAAAACATTCGGTATTTGTTTTTTGGGGATTGGCTGACTTCACTTAGCATTATCTTCTCCAACGCCAGCCATTTACCTGCAAATGCCATGGACAAACCAGCATCTTTATGTGGGTGTTTTTTAATTGCATTATTTGGGGTGTTTATCATTTATTTATTTATTTATTTTTTTAAGTTATAGTGTACACAAAATCTTTATTTTGTTTGTTTCTTTTTATGTAGTGCTGAGGATCGAACCCAGTGCCTCACCTGAGGGGCAAGTGCTCCACCACTGAGCTACAACCCCAGCCCTGTTTACCATTTATTTACCTGACTTTTTCCCTTCTACTAAAAACAAAGCAATCTGTGTTTATTAAAGATACTTAGAATGCCTTGGCTTAAAATGCTGAAGGAGAAATTAGAACTTGGCTGTTACCTATCATGGATTCAGAAATTGGTAATTGGGTAAGGATCCCCATTCCTTAAATGCTTACAGAAGTGAAGTTATGCTAGAGAAAACTTGTTTTCATGATTCCTTTCTCTCTAAAGATAATGTTTTGCATAAGTTTTAGACCCAAAATGAGAGTAGGGAGTATGATACATTGCATAAATGATGGGTGTTTCCGTCTCCAATAAAATGTTAAACTATACTGATGAGTTAGGATTTACTTTAGAGCTTCCTTAAAATGCAAAATGTGACTTGATTTTTAAATCCTTGATTTACATATTTGCCAGAATCCATTTATTATAGAAAGCAAGACACAGCTGTATCCTCCCTGGGGCTGATTGTTCCAGTCAAATCCTTCTAAAACACTAATTAGGAAGATTAGGATTTAATTTTTGTTTCTTAACAACAGAAGATTCTTGTTATAGAGTTAATGAATATACACACTTCCCAGAGTATGTTATCAAAAGGTGTATACTATGTAGTTTTCATCAATGGTTTATTTCCAAACTTTAGTATATTTAGAATGAACAGGCTGACTCATTTTTTTTAGAGAAATTTCCAAGATCACTGAATTTGGGAAGTTATATAAAAGTAACCCATCACCAAGGTATTTGTTAGAAATTTTTACCACAGGGTAGTAGAAAAACAAAAAACCATCACCAAAAGTAGGAAGAGGTAACTATTGGATCACCACTGTGTAATAGTAATAAAGTAATGATCACAATGAAATACATACACATAATAGCTTGATAAAAGAGGACACCAAGGAAATCATGTTTTTGAGAAGGTATTACAACAAAATGTGAGCTTTAAAGAGGCATGTTCAACCTACTGGAATTCTTCAAGTTATTTTTAAAAGGCCATATGGGAATCTCAAGGTGTATTTGTTTCATGTGCATTCTGGAGATAGGTGAGGATATACATATAGCTTGCAGTATCAAAGAGCCTCCAATATGGAATGTGCATGTTTTCGAAATGGAAAAAATACAGGAGTATGTGGGAAGCTTATAAGGTAAAATACATCATGTGCAAACTGTATTTTAGGCAGGCTAAAAAAGAGAAGTTGATAAAATTCTTTAAAAGCAGTAGTACGTCTTGAAGTTACCTCAAAAGGAACCAGTTTACTAAGGTAGTAGTGTGTCTATTTGGTTATCATAGAGCAAAGAAATTGATAAGAGAAAAATAAATCTTAATGGCCTCTTTAATAATAAGATATAAGGAACATGTTAACTCCATAATTATCTGCTGAAATTGATGATAAGGTAAAACTAGGTAAAATTATAGAAAATGAACAAATATTCTAGGTCCAATAGACAAAGTTGATTATAATTTAGCTCACCAGAACTAAATTGCATCCTCTTATATTTTGGCAGAACTCAAAGTTTTAAACTAATAAAGTACTTAAGAATAATTTAATAATATGCTTTTGGGGGAAGGCTTGGACATCTTGAGATGCTACTTGATCAGAAGTATGTCTTCAACATTAAAAGTTTAAGAAGTATAAAAGAATTTCTTATGGGAGTAAGGTTTTAATTCAAAGTATATTGTAAGAAAAGAAAAAGAATATTTCTATATCAGGAAAGGACAGTGAATTTATAAATCTAAGTCATGCCTATACATTCATTAATCTAAAAACCTTTGCTTCATGTCAGATTTTATCAGAGAAAAGTGTTAATATTATTATTCTCCACTGTGAAATAATTTGTGAAAGTTCTTCTGTATATTTAAAAACTTTTCAAAGTTCCTACATTCTGTTTTTTAAAACAATACTGGGCCTCAAACCCAGGGTCTCATGCATGTTAGACAAGTGTTCCACTATGTAGGTTCATCTACCATCATCAGATGAATAATTTACATTTATTTTTTTCCATTCTGTAGTTTGTCTCAACTTTATTGTTTCCTTTGCTGTGCAGAAGCTTCTTGATATGATATAATATCATTTGCATAATTTTGCTTTGTTTCCTGTGCTTTAGGGGAATAATTCTTTTTAACATTTTTATTAGAGCATTAAAATTATATATAATAGTGGGATTTGTTACGCCATATTCATATATGCACATAACATGATGCAATCAATCTCATTCCCCAGTACCTTTTCTGTCCCTTCTCCCCTCCCCCTGATCTGCTTCCTCTACTGATATTATTATTACTATCTTAATTAGTACATTGTAATTATATATGTAAGCAGGATTAATTGTGATATATGCATATATGGGCTTAGCATATTTTGGTAGATTTCTTTCCTCAGCATGGAGAACAGTTCTTAATAAAGGCATAGAATCGCTTTTCAGCCATTGATGAGAATATTTCACACAAATAGGATCCTAAAAATGTGAACAGACAGTTCTTAAAGGAAGAAATTCAAATGGCCAACAAATTTATGAAAAATTGCTCAACTTTATTAGATATCAGAGATATGCAAGTTAAAACTGCAATGAGGCATCATCTTTTAGAATAGCTATTACCAAAAAGACAAAAATATTTCAGCCATTGATGAGAACATTTCACACAAATAGGATCCTACATTAAAAAAAAAAGATCAGAAGTATTTTGTGTTCTTTGTTGCTTAGAATTATAGGTGGGTTTTTTGGCGTGTCTGAATTGAGACAGAGGAGAGTTCAAAGGTAATATTGAGAGAATGTTGTTTTCTTTTGTTATTATTTTAGGTACTGGGGACTGAACACAGTGGTGCTCTACCACTGAACTACATCCCCGGTCATTTTTAAATTTTGAGATTTAGAGTCTCCCTAAGTTGCTGAAGCTGGCCTCAAAATTGCAATCTCCCTGCCTCAGCCTCTGAATGACTGAAATTATAGGTGTGCACCACCATACTCACAAAGAATGCTTATAAAACTCTTCTTACATTTGCATTAATGTTCAAACTGTATACAATCCTTTGCTTTGTTCCAAAATATATCTGATCTTTTGGCAGACCTCAGAGACTTTGCTGTATGGGATTGTTAGTGGTAGCATGATCAGCTAAACCCTTTTGGTATGGGTGATCCAGTAGAATGTGGACCAGCTGGCTGTTTGAGATTACAGTTGTTCTAACAAAGCAATTGTGGAGAAGAGTCAAAGGAGTTTGTAAGCTTTAAAAAAATTAAGAAATGATAAATGTTCAAGGAGATGAAAATGGTAATTACCTTGATTTGATCATTACACATTGTATATGTGTTGAATGAGCACACCATACCCAGTAAATATGTACAATTAAAAAATATTAAAAAGTGAAGACCTATACAAAAAGTGTTTTTGTCTTATGATTCATTTTCCTTCATTTAAAAAATCATCTGTGTTCTTTCTTCCATAGAATAATATAGCAGATCCGGAAGAACTGTTCACAAAATTAGAACGCATTGGAAAAGGCTCATTTGGAGAAGTTTTCAAAGGAATTGATAACCGTACTCAGCAAGTTGTTGCTATTAAAATCATTGACCTTGAGGAAGCCGAAGATGAAATAGAAGACATTCAACAAGAAATAACTGTTTTGAGTCAATGTGACAGCTCATATGTAACAAAATACTATGGGTCATATTTAAAGGTAATGTGTGTGCTATATTATTTAAGTCATAAGGTATTTTCATTATGTTTTTCTTCCTCTCTTTTTAAATTCTGTTTTTGAAAAGCAATGTCTCAAATTAGGATTTGGCAGTCTTTGTCCTTTAGGCAGAACCCAGCTCCCTCCATTATAGTGCCAAATAAATTGTTGTTAGATTTAGCAACTGTATCCTGAATATATCTCAGCACTCAGCTGTACTCTGTTCTATACCTGAACTTTTGGTTCAGTGGAGGAACAGAAATGGAGCAGCTGGTTCTTGAGACATATCCTTTGTCAGGAAAAAGCCATCCTTCCTTGGTTCCTGCAAACTCTTTTCAATAGTTCATTCTGTCTCAATCTCAGAATTGATGAAATTTTTAAGTATGTCCCTTATTCCATTGAGTTAAGGTGGTTGCATTTCTCTCTCCCATCAGGTTGTGAGCTTCTTGATGGCAGGCAGTTTAGCTTAACCAGTCTTGGTTTCTTTGTCACAGCACAGACACAGAGTCTGGCACATCTCAAGCACATGATAAATGTACTCATTCATTCATTATTATCCTCAGGAGATTGGTTGTAGGCCCTGCTTCCCAAGACACTAAAATCCTCAGATGCTCAAGTCCCTTATATAAAATGACATAGTATTTGTATATTACCTATGTACATCCTCCCTTATATTTTAAATCATCTCTAGATTATTCTCTAATACATTGTAAATGTTATGTTAGTAGCTGTTATACTGTATTGTTTACAGAATAATGACAAAAAGTCTGTACTTATTCAGTAGAGAGGTTTTCTTTGACCCACAGTTGGTTGAATCTTGGATATGGAACTTATAGGGGACGAACTTTTTGTTAAAATGGAAGAAAATGAAATAATATTGGCCCCCTGCTGAAGCTGGAATTTTTCCTGGTTCCAAGATCATGTAATTAGCAGCCACCTAAATTTCCAGCAGATGGAGATGTTACTGCATAACAGAAAATTCTTTGTTTAGTAAAACCCAAGAGTTCTTGGGTTCCAGAGGTAAAAGTCAGGATTTGTGTCCATTGAAATGTAAATAATAAATAGCTACAGTGGATTAGACAAAGGAGAATGAAGAGAAGGAAGGGGGATTAGGAATAGGAAAGACAGTGGAATGAATCTGACATAACTTTTCTATGTACATGTATGAGTACACTGCAATGAATCTTAATTCCATGTACATCCTAAGATGTACTGCATGTTTGTATAAATATGTCAAAATAGACTTTACTGTCATATATAACTAAAAAGAAGAAATAAAAATAAAAGAGATAAAGAAAAAGAATAAATAGCTAGAAAATTCTAGGTTGGGTTTTAAATTATTTTTAAAATAAAATTGTTGGGGCTGGGGTTGTAGCTCAGTGGTAGAGCACTTGCCTAGCATGTGTGAGGCACTGGGTTTGATTCTTAGCACCACATATAAATAAATAAAGGTATTGTGTCCATATACAACTAAAAATGTTTTTTAAAAAATTGTTTTACTGGATGTGGTGGTGCATGCTTCTAATCCCAGCAGCTTGGGAGCCTGAGGCAAGAGGATTGTGAGTTCAAAGCCAACCTCAGCAATAATTTAGGAAGACCATAAACAATGTAGGTAGACCCTATCTCAAAATAAAAAATAAAAAGGGCTGGGGATATGGCTCAGTGATTAAATGCCTCTGGGTTCACTCCTGGCACCCAAAATAAAGAAATACAAAATTGTTTATTCCCATGTTGAAAAATTTCAAAGGAAAGCAGTATTAGACCTTTGCCTTTCAGGGATTGCTTAGTATTGTTTCTTATGCAAGGCGCCAGTGTTTGTGAAAAAGATGGAGATGGACACACATCCCCAACTCCCCCATCCCCCGCAACACACACACAAAGCTACTATGGGACGGAGAAGAGAATACTTCACTGACCTCTGAGAAGATGTCCAGAGTGCATGCATGTGCAAAAAATTCGGCCCAAAGGGAGCTAGCTTGTTGTGGCGATCTGTCTGTCTCAACTTTTCAGGTTGGCTGCAGTGCCGCTACAATTTAGACCCTAACTCTGGGCTGAGTGTATGTCTGCAGTGCAGACATGTGCAGAGCAACCTTGGCGCGGACCTGGTGTGAGCCATTAAATATGGATCGTCTGAGGCGAGTTTACATTCCAGATTCCAGAGTACGTGGTGTCTCTCAGTGGCCTCAGAACTGGTGTGCAGAGTGAGGACAGAAGCAAAGAAACCTTGGTTTTGACAAGGGTGCATATGACGTATGCGTGGGCTTTCCTCCACAAAGCGCGTGCGCATGGCCGCAAAGCGGGTGTGTACAACTGCAGAGTGCACGTGCACACAGCTGCAAAGCCAGTGTATACAACCGCAAAGAGCATGCGCTCATAGCTGCAAAACGTGTGCATACAACTTCAGAGCGCGCTCGAGCCCGGCCACAAAGCCCGTAAGCGTTTGGTATGTGAACTCGCCTGGCAGCCATCTCTCGTGAACCTGGAGCCCGGTGATGATGAAACTGATAAATAATTCCTGCCTTACTTCTTTGTTCCTAGCGGTCCACTGGTGTCTCAGGTATACTAGATCCACCTGTGATCCTTCTTGTGGGTGTATAATGCCTTCCTATGCTCCACTGTATTGTTACAATTTCTTAAAAGGGCCCTTGAACCATTCCAGGATTATTTTGGTTTGCGTCTGTGTGGCAGCTGTTGCAAAGATCGCTCTTTTTTATTTCTCTTTTTTTTTTTTTTTAAAGAGAGAGAATTTTTTTTTAATATTTATTTTTTTTTTAGTTTTCGGCGGACACAACATCTTTGTATGTGGTGCTGAGGACCGAAGCCGGGCTGCACGCATGCCAGGCGAGCGCGCTACCGCTTGAGCCACATCCCCAGCCCCTCTTTTTTATTTCTCCATCTTGGTGACTTCACTTTGTCATTGCTTTCTTTATCAGTATTTATATTAATTAATATCTATGTAAGCGAGGCATGATGGTGCACGCCTGTAATCCCAGAGGCTTGGGAGGCTGAGAAAGGAATCTCACAAGTTCGTCCTCAGCAACTTAGGCCCTAACTCAGCGAAACCCTGTCTCTGAAATACAAAAATGGCCTGGGGATATGGCTCAGTGGTAAACTTCCTCTGAGTTTAATCCCTGGTATCAAAAAAAAAAAAAAAAAATTACCTTCAGTTTCCTTGCCTTTTTACAAGTTTGATTTATTTTAACATTATATGAATTGGGTAGAGAGTATATGCATACTAGAAATAATCCTTAAACAGCCACTATATTAAACACTGTACTAGATGCATAAAAATGGTGCAAATTTTATGATTAAAGTGCATCTAAAATACAGATGAGGCACAAATACGCCAGCATCCTGTTTTTGAGAATAATTTGAAAAAAAAAGTCCTGAAAAAGGAAGTAATAATACTGATAATTTTTATTCAATTTCAGCATTTCTTTCTAAGTGTTACCTGTTACTATATTTTACTACATACCTTATTTTTTGTCCTTTAGCTTTCATGTTCACTCCTTTTTTAAAAATTTTTATTATTTATTTTTTTAGTTTTCAGCGGACGTTGTACAACATCTTTGTTTGTATGTGGTGCTGAGGATCGAACCCAGCGGGCTGCACACATGCCAGGCGAGCGCGCTACCGCTTGAGCCACATCCCCAGCCCTCATGTTCACTCCTAAAAGGCTAATTTTACAGTTAATATTAAGTTAGAGAAATCTCGTGATTATTCAGTCTCAATAGTTTTTAAGTCCCCCTTCTAATTGCTACAACAGACTTTGTTGTAGACAGTCCTAGGACTTTTGTGTGTGTGTGTGTGTGTGTGTGTGTGTGTGTTATTTGTTCTTTTGGGTTGACTCTTTCTGGATTGAATACTGGTAACTCCAGACCCCAGTCTAAAGCAAACCTGAACCCTTGCTATTTTTAGGCCCATATAACAGATAAGCTATTTTTGGTGACTGACTTAAAATATTTAATAAGCCCTATTTAAAATGGGTCTTGTTTATTATATTGGAAATAACTACTGATATGGGATTGAACTTTTTACTAGTTGTTATAGCCTTTGTTTATTCATATTCAGTGCTTGTAGAAAATGTATTACAATTCTATTTTTACAAGATTTCACATTTAAAAAAATTCTCTTCAAAACTTAGTACCGCATTATATATGAACTGTTCATCTCGTAATTACTTAATCTTTAAATAAATATAAACTATTTTTTGTGCCAAATCTTGATTGTAGAATATACTCAGACTAGTTGGTGATAATAGAAAAAACACCATTGTCCAAGGTGTTCTTAATGGATTAAATTGAAAATTTTTTTTATCTCCTTTCCCAATCATTAATTGAAGTCTCTTAGTAAAAGAATACTTTGAGGATGGGAATGGCTCAGTGGTAGAGCACTTGCCTGGCATCCATGAGGCCCTAGGTTTGATCTCCAGTACTGTAAAAAAAAAAAATACAGTGAAGAACTTATTGTTTCATGATAAAATTATAGAAATAGACAGTTGACCAATACTGAATAGTTATATCTATTTAAAGTAAACAAATGTATGATATACATGTTTATCTCTATACAGATAAATATATATATATATATATACACACACACAGAAAACAAAATATGGTCTTTTAATACTATTTATTTGAATCACTTTTTTAAATTGAACAACTTGTTTTCCATTTATATTAAATCTTACAGTGATTGTGTAGACTTGGGTTTTTTCCTAAACTAAAATCACATATAACAGGATTCTGTTTAATGCAGTCAATGTAATTCAAGGCCACATCCTCTAAGTAACATCAGAAAACTGCACTGTCAATCAACTGTGTACCTTCTTTGGTCCATCCTTACATTTCAGATGACAGGAGATTTTGTGAGTCAAGTTAATTGAACAGTGTAGGGTATCAGTTTTCTCAGTTTGTCCTTACACAGGATATCACACATAACCAAAACCTCACCATAAGCTGGAGGAAAAGGTTATTGCATTTGAGAGAAAATTATATACTCTCTAAAACTGTATGCAATTGTAGTGATTTCCTTGAGACATGCAAAAATGTACTAGGTATTCATTTTGACTGAGCTCAGTGTATAACTTCATTTTTAAAAACAAGAGTAAAAACCAGACAAACACATCAGTGTGACCACAGTGTTTTCCTTTAATTTTAGTTCACTGCAGAGTTTCTTGACAGACAAAGTTAGTCTTTATGAAGAGTGCTAAAATAAGCAAACCCTTCCTTTCTGATCTCATAATGTTGGAAGAATCTTTTATAATCTTTAAATATTTTTCTAGTTCAATGTAAATCTTAAAATGAAGCTCACTCAAGCATTGAGTAGAATTTGAATCATGCTTTTATTTGCTGGTAAAAATTGCCTTTAGATTTCTGTTTATGTTAAGGAAATAATCGCCCCCTCCACACACACATACATATGCCACCACTGAAATTTATTTTAAAAAAGAATTGAATGAATAAAATGAAATATTCCAGAATAAATTCTGTACACTTTTGTGGCCTTCTCATTTTTCACTGAAGCTTTGTGTGTGCTTATATCTGGTATATGTTCAGTGTCTTTAGAATATTCTTTTGTTGAAAAATTTTTATAGTTAAATAAAAGAAAATTTATTATAATTTATATAATTATATAATTTATTGAAGAAAATTAAGGACAGTATATATTTCTCCTTATCAAAATGTTTTTTTTTCTCAGAATAAATATACCTTGCCATGCATGGTGGTGCATGCCTATAATCCCAGCAGCTTGGGAGGCTGAGGTGGGAGGATAGCAAGTTCAAAGCCAGCCTCAGCAACTTGGCAAGGCCCTAAGCAACTCAGCAAGACCTTGTTTCTAAATAAACTATAAAATAGGGCTGGGGATGTGGCTCAATGTTTAAGCACCCCTGAGTTTAATCCTTGGTACAAAAAAAACACAGCTTTAAGTGTAAAATAATATATCTCTAAGAAGCCTCATATTAGATTCAGCTTAATAGACATGTATTTATTGAGTACCTCTCATTCTGTTTCTTTGCCCTAGTCAATCTCATCTACTTTTTTATTTTTTAAATATTTTTTTTAGTTGTTAATAGACCTTTATTTTATTCATTTATTTTTATGTGGTGCTGAGGATTGAACCTAGTGCCTCACACATGCTGGGCAAGTGCTCTACCACTGAACCACAACCCCAGCCCTCATCTACTTTATTTTGACAATTAAATTAATGCCTCTGGTCCAAGACTCTTGTCAGTCTCAGATATGTATTTCTAGTTTGCCTCATCTATTACCTACTTACCTGTGGGTACCTTAAGGGTAGTAACCCTAAAACTGAGGAGCTAACATTTGAACTAGGTTTTGAATATGATTGCGATGAAAGTTGGAATGTGAGGTTGGGGTAGGGACAAGGCATTCCAAACTGGAAGGAAATGGTTCAGAGGTGGTAAAGTATCTAGCCATATTCTAGGCAAAAATAATCTCTACTGTCCCTTGCAGTTCTATAAAATCTTTTGTTTTCTGTGGTTTTCAATTATGATAAAAGACACATAACATAAAATTTACCACTCTAACCATTTCTAAGTTCACTGGCATTAAGTACATTCACAATGTTGTGTAGTCATCATCATTTATTTCCAGAACATCTTTACCAATTAATGGGTAATTAAGCAATAATCCCCATTCCCTGATCCTTGGAAACCACCATTCTACTTTGAGTCACTGTGAATTTGGCTATTCTAGGTACCTCATATAAGTGGTATCATAGAATATTTGTCCTTTTGTGACAGGCTAATTTCAATTGCACTTGCTGGTTGATTTGGTCAGTGTTATTATTGCCTGTTGGATTAATAGACCAGCTACTTAATTGAACACATAGGTAGCATAAATAATCCTCTTTTATATGTACATACAATTGGTATATTGAATTGTTTTTTTCTTTTTTGGAGCGGATACCAGGGATTGAACTCAGGGGCACTGGGCCACTGAGTCACATCCTCAGCCGTATTTTGTATTTTATTTAGAGACAGGGTCTCACTGAGTTGCTTAGTGCCTCCCTTTTGCTGAGGCTGGCTTTGAACTCTTGATCCTCCTGCGCCACTGGGATTACAAGCATGTACCACCATGCCAGCTAGAGCAATTGTTCTTTAGGTATTCTGAATTTAGGGACAATTTCCTAATACCAACTGAAAACCCATGTTGATACAGGACTCAAAACTTAATCCTCCAAACCATTGTTCAAATGTATGGATTCGTTTATAAGCAGAGAAATGGAATTTTGTATGCTAAGTTTATGGTTACGGTTTACACTCACCTGGCTCTTTTAGAATTGTAAACCCGCATGTAGATACCATCTTAGCACTTTAAATTATTTAAAAGGCAAACCAACCACTTATTTGTATCCTCCAACAATAAAGCCTTTTGTAGAATTTGAAGATAGAACCTGAGACGCTACACCCCGCCCCCCCCAAAATAGTGGCAAGCTAGTTTAGATTAGTTTTGTTTGTAGTTAGTGTTTTCATTAAGCTGCCTTGAGCAGGGAGGAGCCCTGCCAATTTGCCATTTCTACCTTGCTCCCTAGGCCTTGCTTCAGGCTCCTGCCCGCCTAACAGTCTTCCAGATGTCCAGGTCTTTGGCCATCCTCCAGTGATGCTTGTCTCCAGGAGTGACAATCAAAAGGAGGCAGTCAGAAAAGCTATCTGATACCTCTGGCCACTTCCTGTGTCAGAGGAGTACCTAGTTCTACTGAAAAGTTCTTCTGGTAGTAAGTCTTATTTTCAGATCTGGAAGTTGCTTAGTCTCAACTTTAATAACTAAGCAGTATATACTGTTTTGTAAGGTCACATATCCAGCTTTTTATGAATACCCTTTTGGTGATAGTTTGGAAGTTTCCATTTTGAATTGGTACAAGCAAAAGGGCATACATTGTTTTTAGACTTGAAAAACAGGTGCTTTTCATTCATAAAAAACCTTAAAACAGATAAACTAATTTTACAAGATCTTGTTTTAAAATGTCAGCGGCATGGGAAGCTTTCTGCATTCATATGATAGAATATAGTACTTACTGGAAACAGACTTATGGTAAGAGAAAATATTCTTAAGCTGTAAGCCATTATAAGAACCACTTTTATGTGTGTGATACTAGAGAGTGAACTCAGGGGTGTTCTACCACTTAGCTATATCCTTCAATCTTTTTATTTTTTAATTTTGAGACAGGACCTCACTAAGTTACTGAGGCTGGCCTCTAACTTGCAATCCTCCTGCTTCAGCCTCCTGAGTCTTTGGGATTACAGGCATGTACCATTTTGAGTGGCAGGAAATACTTAAAAAAAAATAAAGTTGTGTCAGGTTTATAATTCTCTGGTTCTGAATGCCTAATTTCTATGCATAAATTCAAGTTACATGAACCACTCCTAGAACTCTGCTTCCCTCCCCACTGTTGTAGAAATTTATTTACTCTTTCCTTCCATGCACACACGACGTTCAGCTTTTTCTTTCCTCAGTTCAAGTTGACCTGCTAAGGCAAAACAGAGCAGATGTTAAGATTAGTGGAAGTGGACACGATGGTGGTGCTCTATTCCTCTCTTTCTTTTATATATTGTACATAGTGTCAACATTAAGAAAGGAGAATCTGTCTGTTTTAACTGAACTAATCTTTCCCTCCTCAGCCCCTAGCTCTAGACCACATCCTAGCCCCTACACTACAATATCAACTTAACTCTGATTCGTCAACCTTGCAACATTCCCCTGACTCATCATTGTGTCACTAGAGTCCATTCTCTGCCTTAATAAAATTCCAGCCCCATGGAGATGCTTGACAAATTTTAAATTGAACTCCTCAGTACTTCCCAGGGATTTTAGAGTGAGGGCACCAGCAGTAGCTTGAGAATCTTCATCCCACAGCTGGGCCTGTAAAGGTGAGAAATGTGTTCCTGGCATCCCAAGTTGGAGCACAACACTGAATATATATTTTCCCCCAGAAAAATTGCTAAGTTATAAGTAGTAGTGAGTTTCTCCAATATTCTTCATGCTATATACTATGGATATATTTATGTTAACATTTTCTTTGGGGGAGACAACTCCACGATCCCAAACGTGATTTTTTTATGGAAAAAATGCTTGCTTCTGAAAAACTTACTTAAAAATGGACTTTTGGGACATAATTCATTCACAACTTTGCTACTGCCAGTATAATAAACCCAACCTTTTGATTTCTAGTCAGCTATGTGTTCTCAAAAACAGAGAATATCATTCACGAAATGGTATGGAGAAAGAATTATCCTTAATATTTCAAGCTATATCTGAAAAATGGAAGTGTTTTATTCCAGTGTTTAACTGATGGAGGAGAATGGTGTGTATGTGTGTATAGTCGTTTTAGAATTCATATACATATATTTCCCCATAAACCTCATTACTCTTGTTCTGGTCACAATGAAATTAATTTTTCCTGGAGTAATCATTTGCTTTTTGCGCTACACACTCCCCTTTCTTTATCCATTTATATAAGTGTCCTTTCTTCTCATTCTTTATTGTAATTATCTTTTCCTTTTAGTATTATCATTCAAGATAACAATTGCAAGCTTTGGATTTTTTTTCTCAGTTTTGTAATGATTATTAGTAGCTTAACAATAACAAACAATACTATTTTTGTTTAGCTATATCAAAGGCTAAATAGAATTGCAAGATTAGGCTCAGAATTTTATTTTATTTTTTTGTATAATGGTATATGGAAAAATATGTTCTGTGTTCCAAGCAACCACTTTTAAACATCTATTTTAGAATCATTGCATTAGTATGTAAGATTTAACTTTTTGTTAATATGCTATTTTGGCTAAGGTTTATAATTATTAAATTGTTCCATGGCTTTACAGGGTTCAAAATTATGGATAATAATGGAATACCTGGGTGGCGGTTCAGCACTGGATCTTGTAAGTATTTTAAAATAATTACACAAACATTTTTAACCGTTCTTTTATGTTAAGTAAGCAGTGGCTTTTGAGCAACGCTAAGTGGTTATATTAGTTAATATGATCAAATTAAACTTTCTTGAGGACCACGGCACTTATGTCGATAATTCTTTTTTTAGTATGACAGCGGAATGCATTACAATTCTTACGTAGATACTTCTTTATTGCAGATTTGAATCTGTTGCTGACAATCTATGAGTATATAAGAAATACAAATAGCTTAAGATTGCCCCAGATTAGGAGTGTTTGCTAATTGCTGTTTGTTTTGTGTTTGACTTTTACAAACTAAGACTGAGTTCTTAGATTTTTAAAAATATATAATTGTGATAACTGTCACTAAAAGTGATTATGAACTGAATATTTGTGTGCCCCACAAACTCATATGTTGAAATCCTAACTCCCAGTGTGATAGTCTTAGAAGGTGGGACTTTGGAAAGTAATTAGGTAATGAGGGCAGAGCCCTCAGGAATGGCATTTGTGTGAAGGAGATTCCAGAGAGCCCTCTAGCTGTCTTTCAACCCTGAGAGGGTACATTGAGAACATGGCCATCTGGAAACCAGGAAGAGTACTCTCATCAGACTTTAGTCTTCCAGAACCTTGATCTTGGACTTCCCAGCCTCTAGAACAGTGAGAAATAAGTATTTGCTGTTTTAAGTCACCCAGTCTATGATATTCAGGTAGAGCAGCCCAAAGTGACTAAGACATTGGTTTTAGGGATTTGACCAAGTAGGCCTACAGATACAGTTCTGTACAGATTTCTCTCTGCCCCACTGTAGGTTATTTGGAAAGGTGATGGCATTTTTGGATTGTTAAAATGACTGAAAGTGTTACTGCCATTTTAGTGGGCCATTATCAAGAATGCTGAAGTTCTGCAAAGTACAGGAAAACTTCCATTCAATGAAGATATGTTCATGTGCAGAGTGCCTTTGAAAAAAACTGATGGTTTTCCCCCACGTTAGTATAATACTATCAATGTTGATTTCTTTCCTTTAAAATCTTTATTAATATGGCTTTAATTATAAGATTAAATATGAATTATGAAATGACCACTGGGTCAGTCAGTCTATAGGGGTTTAAGGTTATAGGGCCAGCGTTGCTCAACTAAATCTGTGACTGTGAACCAGACCCAGGAACTCCCTGAACTTGGGTGTGTCATAAAACAAGTTGCAGTAAGTTATTTTTCAGTTCTCTTCCATCTTTAATACTATAGGATATATTTTATTTACATGCCTCTTCCTTTGAAATTATATAGCATGCTATGTCTAAGAAAAGAGTGTTTTGTTAGGCTCATTAAGTAATATTTTAATTCTTATTTTTTAAATGAAGATGAGTTTTCCTACCTGAAAATGATTAGATATTTTTAAAAGATTTTAACCCTGACTACTGATGAGTCAAAATTTCTAATACTATGAACGGAAATAACTGAAAAAATTTTCTTTGCTTTAGGCAGAACTGTACTGAAAGTAAAGATATGATAAACTTGATCTGGAAAGCCTCATTTACTTCTAGTAGTTCATTTTAGTTTAATCAGTTGCCACATTTGGTAATCCTTTCTTGTCTAATCTAATTCTCATATCCTAAAGCTTAATTTCATTTTTTTCTCTCTCTCCTCTGTAGTGCAAGAACACCACTGGCATTTCTTTGTATAATATTTTTCATGCATATAGAGTCAGACTTCATTCTTAAAGTTAAATGATCTCATTTCTGTTTGCTTTGTCAGTCTTATTATTACAATAGTTTATTGTTTAGCCCCAGAAGAAGCCTCTCAATTGCTCTGAGAACCTCCTTCTACTTTTAAAATATTGAGAAGCCTTTACAAATTTATCATTTACCTTATCTGTTCCCCCATGGAACTCACCATTTCTCTTCTCCATTTTGTAGGCTTTGGCAAAGCTAGTCCAATCTGTTTATCAAGATCATTAATAGCAACATCAAGCATTTGAACACTGGCCTAACCCTTCCTAATAGCCGTAATCGATACCCTGAGTAAAATGATTGTGAGTTCTTGATCTCATCCTGCCATTCTGCACTCTACCTGATAAAAATGGCAATTAGAATAAATTAAATGAATTGAAATGTTGTTAGTACTATATTGGCTGAGAATCTAAAGACCTAGTTCTTAGTCCCATTTCTACCACTGACAGTTGACTAAAATTGGGCAAGATAATATCTTTGTGCCTTAATTTCCTCAAATGTTGGTGAAGAAATTTGATTAATGAACTTTTTTTGTTTTCATAGCTCTAAAATTCAATCATATTGTGATTTAATTGTAAACCTCATTGAACTGAGCTTTTAAAGGAGAGCAAGTGCTGAAAAAAATGTGCTGTTCCTTTTCCATGTATAGTCATATAGAAATGAGTGCTGTCATTTGGGGAATCTAAGAAAGAACGATGATAGTAGTAGAGGAGGACTCTGTTACCAGGAGCAAGGGAAAACAAAGAGAGATGTTGAACAGAGTATTTATCACTTTAAACTGGTGTCTGACTAATGGAATAACATAAGATTATGATTTGTAATTTATATCAACATTATACATAGTGTACCTCAAGGGTCTCTCTCATTCTTGAAAAACCATTTGTCCCATCTGAACAAACTTTGAGCATACTATATATTATTTTATTGAGTTTATTATACCCTACTGCTTTCCAAAAATAATTTACAGTGGCTTACAACAAAAACCCATATAATAAAGTAAACAGAATAAAACATGAGCACCAAGAAAAAATGTTGGAAACAATCTGCTAACTGTAAAAGAAGGCATAATATAACATGCTGTATTAGGAACTGACTGGCTGAAAGTCAAAGGAATGTAGGGAAAATCCACAGGCCTAGGTCCACAAGAGTACAGTTTTCATTTTTTCTCTCTTCTTTTTTTCTTTTTGAACTAGGGATTGAACCCAGGAGTGCTTTACCACTGAGCTACATCCCCAGTCTTTCTACTTTTATTTTTAATTTTGAGACAGAATCTCATTAAGTAGCTGAGGCTGTCCTCAAACTTGTAATCCTCCTGTCTCAGCCTCCCAAGTTGCTGGGATCACAGTTGTGTGCCACCACACCTGCATACGGGTACAGTCTTTGAAAGAGCACATGTCCCTCTTTTGCATATGCTTTCTTCATAATAGAGGCAAAATTACACAAAGCCTGTACACTGTCCTGGGACAGAAGTGTTACATATTAGAGACATGACAAGAAGTTCAGTCATTGGAGAGAAGTTCAGTTATGCACTTTAAGGACAGTAGACCACAATCTTGGCATGATCTTTCCTTAAGTTGTATTAGATATTTTTTAAAAACCTCTATTCCTTCTACTTTACATTCCTTCTCTTTCCTATTCTCTTTCTTCTCCTTTTCTCATCACTACCAACATGCCTAAGGAGCCATTTTAACTACAAGATTTGAGACAGTTTTCTGTGTGATAGTGTGGGTGGTTTTTTTTTCTTCCCTGATTCACTGTCGCCTTATGCCCATTTCACTGCTACAGTTGTCCAGCATGCTGTAGCCTGCCAACATTTTTGATAGTACCAGTCTTATGAATATGTTTATCCCTCAGTTAGTTGGTAGTACCTGAGAATTTTGTTGCCAGCCATCAATAAAATATCTCATTTTCACCTTTTAGAATTACTTCAGTACTGGTTTTTTTTTTTTTTTAGTTGTAGTTTGACACAAACCTGTATTTTATTTATTTTTATGTGGTGCTGAGAATCAAACTCAGTGCCTCACATTTGCTAGATGAGCGCTCTACTGCTGAGCCACAACCACAGCCCCACTTCAGTACTGTTTCAGAAAGGAACTTTTGGGGTAGAAGTTGATAGATTTGGAAATAAATAGATAATGTTGCCTAGGAAAGGGAGCTATTGAATTGCAGCCATCCCTGGAGTATACTGTATACCCAGACTAGAGTTAATATTAAATGTTGAGACCAAAGTATGGGTCCTATTTTAGGCTGTTAAATTCTGACATGAAAGTGCCCTTTATTCAGCATAAATATGGCATTCATGAAAGATGAAATACACAAGGTGCCAAAGAGCTGTGAATCCCTCCCAGTGTGAGGCAGAGTGTGCAATGTTTGATTTTCACCACCTCTTTCCTCCTTCCAGCAAACAGAACTGTGCCTCGGCTCTGACTTTAGATTCCCACCCTTTCCTGTAATAATATTGTACAGTCCACTGTTTGTGCTTTATGAGGTACCAGAATTTTTAAATTACCATTTATTTTAAAGAGAAATTTTCAGATATTCCATTACAAGTTCTGAAACCTAGTCATTGCTTTCCTTGTATTCCAGTTGGAACTATTGGCTTCAGTACAGGGATGGGGAAAGAAAGGGAAATGTGTTACATTTATTTGAAAAATATTATCCCTCCATGATTCAAATTTTGTTTTACAATGAGTCTGAATGGTTTAATTATTATATTCCTGGATAAATTTAAAATTTGAGTCTCAACAAGACTCTGTTCCTTACAATATTATTGAAACATATAGAATGCTAAGTAACTTTACTGTAGTTGACCTGTATGATCAGATAGTTGCTGGGGAAATCTTACAGATTATCTCATCTAAAAATCAGTTCAATGTCAATATTTAGTAACTTTTTAATAACAAATGCCAGCATGTAAGTAGTTGATTTTTTCCCCATCTGAAAAACAATTTAGCTAGCACTATCACCATTTAAACATATTTGTTAACTCTCTAATATAAAAAGTTCAGGAACTCCAGAATTTGAAGCTAGTATCTAGGAAAAAGTGTTCATATTATCTTTAAATATTAAATTTAATCTTTTAAAAAATCTGTTCAGCCTTGTGACTTAAAACTCTTTTGCTTTCTTCCCCCATATTTAAAAAATTTCCTCATTTGTTTAAATATTGGTTTAATAAACAATTGTTTTATATACCTAAGTGATTACATTATTTCAAAGATAGCAATCTTGAATTTTATTTTGCAAACTTTTTGTGTGAGTGTGTGTATGTTTTTCCCCTTAAGCTGCGAGCTGGTCCATTTGATGAGTTCCAGATCGCTACCATGCTAAAGGAAATTTTGAAAGGTCTGGACTATCTGCATTCAGAAAAGAAAATTCACCGAGACATAAAAGGTACATAGCAGTCTAATACAAATCTTAGAAAAATAGATGCCTTATGCAGAAACTGAATTTTTTTCCCTTTTTTCTTTACCTCCTAGCTGCCAATGTCCTGCTTTCAGAACAAGGAGATGTTAAACTTGCTGACTTTGGAGTGGCTGGCCAGCTGACAGATACACAAATTAAAAGAAACACGTTTGTGGGAACTCCATTTTGGATGGCTCCTGAAGTTATTCAACAGTCAGCTTATGACTCAAAAGTAAAGGATTGCTTGTCTAAACTGTTTTGTTTTTTTCAAATAAATTTTATATAGCAGAAATCTGATAGGAAGAATTTTATTTCAGATAGAGGAACGGCCAAGAGCAAAGGGTTCTGGTGCTATCCTAGTTAAAGAACTGCCTTATTTTCCTTCTTTATCAAATCTTTCTTAAGGAAAAGTTATGTCATATTTTGTTGTTTCCTCATAAATTCCCTTGATGCCAATAATATTTGGACCCTGTTCACATCAATGACTTTCCATCTCACTTGGAATGAAATCTTAAGTCCTTACTGTAACTCCAGCTGTTATTTGCCTCTCCAGTCGTGGTGGCCTCATTGTTGTTCCTCAAGCATAGCAAGTATACTCTGGCCTCAAGACCTTTGCTCTTGCTCTTCCCTCTTTCTGGAATAACCTTCTTCTAATCAGGTCTCTGCTTAAACATCACAGACACAAAGATGTCTTTCCCAGACCTTCCATGTGAATTCGCAAACTTCTTCACACTCTCATTCATTATTTCTTTATTCTGCTTTATTATTTTCCTCACAGAACTTATCACTGTCTGACATGTTTGTTTCTTCTCTGTCTCTCATACTAGAATGTAAACCCCTTGAGGGCAGGAATTTTTGTCTAGCTTTTTTACCACCTGAATCCTCTGGGCCTAGAATGATGCCTGGCATAAAGTATGGAATCCAATACATTTTAAAATAAGTGAATTCTATTAATAACAATTTATTAATGCCACCTATCTTGGCAGACTTTTCAAAACTATAGGACCACTACATTCTACAGACTCTTTTGTGGCAGTATACTGGAATGAAGTTTCAAGGTAATAGAATTTTTTTCTTTCTTTTACCTCAGGCTGATATTTGGTCATTGGGAATTACTGCTATTGAACTAGCCAAGGGAGAGCCGCCTAATTCTGATATGCATCCAATGAGAGTTTTGTTTCTTATTCCAAAAAACAACCCTCCAACTCTTGTTGGAGACTTTACTAAGTCTTTTAAGGAGTTTATTGATGCTTGCCTGAATAAAGATCCATCATTTGTGAGTATTTAGTTCTTTTACTACTATCTGTTTTCCATTATTAGATCTATTTGGAGTAGAGGTGGCTTTTTCCACAGTGGGGAATAGAATGAGGTGAAAATTGGCTGAGATCTATCCAGGAACCTAGTTCTTCCTTCCACATTGCTGATCTTAGTCAGTTCTTAACCAGATCTTTACTCCTTCCCCTGTATCTTTTTCTTGGTCCCCAGCTTCCTGCTGTTTACTGATCATTTCCTATTTCAAGGAGAAAGAAATTTGAGAAATAAAATTCATCTTACGTCATTATTAAAGTACATGTGTAAAATATTCACGATGATTCCTTTCAACCATGTTATCATTTTTCATGAAAGTTTGTGTTTACTTTTTATTTGATATTCAGAGACTTCAACATGAAGTTTTATACTTTTTCTGGTCTAGTGAAGTCCTCTCATTTACTTGGCAGTTTTATTATAGTTGTTTTTGCTGTTATTTAAATTAAAGCTGCCTTGTGATTTCTAGAGACTAAAAATATACAAGAACTTGATATAACTAATTTTAAGTTAATAGTAAACCTTCTGATATTAATAAAATGCTAGAGGGAAAATATCGCCCACAGCACCTGCTGTTTGCATTTAGACACAATATGAATTGATGCTTTATAGAGAAAGGATAATAAGATGTGGGCAGATAATAACAAAATTAGGCATTCCTAAGATGTGTGCAGATGATAACAAAATTATAGCCTTGATAGTTTTCATGAGTTTTTTCAACTTACAGTAAATGTTATAAAAGTATTTTAAAGCTTTATTTTGAGATGTTTTTACTTTCTAAATCCTTCCACGGGCTTTTGAGAAAGCTTTACCTTCTGGTTTATTTGGTTTTACCAAATTGGTGTAAAAACGTAGTGAATTTAATGTGGTTGCCTTGAGCCACTTAAAAAGTAGAATTATCTGTTTTCCTACATTTTAGTTGTCCTCCTGTCTATAGATTTACTTTTAGTTCCAGTGATTTTTTTTTTTACAATCACAAAGAGCTTTGATGTAGTCATGCATTCTTCATTTTATTCCTTAGCGCCCTACAGCTAAAGAACTTCTGAAACATAAATTCATTGTAAAAAATTCCAAGAAGACTTCTTATCTGACTGAACTGATAGATCGATTTAAGAGATGGAAGGCAGAAGGACACAGTGATGATGAATCTGATTCTGATGGCTCTGATTCGTATGTACAAATTATTCAATTTGTATGTAGGTGGCCCATTTGAATACACTGTGTCTTTTAATAATTATCTGGTATGCTTGCATTAGCATGAAACATTAACCATATTCTGAGGTTTCATTATAGAAGCTGAAAGTTCCCCAATCACAGTCTGTATAATACAATGAATTTGGATACATGTTGTTCTTGGAAGTGAATAGCTGTAGTTTTAAATGGTCTTGGTCTAACCCCTAGTGGATACTTGAGCATATTACAAAATTTTGGAATAAAATTTCATTAAAGGTGTTAACATTAGTTTGCAAAAAGTAATAAGGAGCCAAATGCAGTGGAGCACATCTGTGATCCAGTAGTTCAAGAGGCTGAGGCAGGAGAATCACAAGTTTGAGGTCAGCCTGGGCAACTTAGCAAGACTCTGTCTCAAAATTAAAAAATAAAAAGAACTGGGGATGTAGCTCAGTTGTAGAATGTCCCTGGGTTCAACCCCCAGTACCCTAAAAAGTAAGGAGCTATGTCTTCTCACACTTTGATGGCAATCTCCAAAATCCCTCTGGAGAACTGACCTTTCCCAAGTCTCAATCATGCACCAAACTGTGATCAGATTGGTACATTTAAATATTCATTTATGGGAACTGAGGGTGTAGCTCAGTTGCCTAGCATATACAGGGCCCCAGAATCCATCTCTACTACTGCAAAAAAAAAAAAAAACAACAATATACATGGACTGCAGATGTAGCTCAGTGGTAGAGCAGTTGCCTGGTATGTGTGAGGCCCTGGGTTCCATCCCCAGCACCACAAAAATAATAATAATACCCATTTCTATATGATTTTTCACCCCTTAAAATGTTGCAGTGGCTTTTTAAAATGGCAGCATTTATATAAAAAATTCAGACTTTAGGTTTCTAATTTAGTTTTGACTAGGAGACTATGTAGGCTACACCATAATTTACACTTTCACTAGGCAAACTGGAAGAAAGGAAAGACCAAATTTTTAAAGATAATACTCTTAGATTCCCACATTTATGAAAAAATCCCCAATATTCAAAATGTGTAAAATATATTCAAAATAGTTTGTACCCTGTTCTAATGGTGTCATTAGCCTTAGGTGCCCTTGTGAGTCACCCAATGAAGCCTAAGACCACAAGCCGCACTGCTTGAGGTCCTGGTTCAGTAACTGGGGAGTAGTGGGGGATGGGTATGTATATATGTAGGAAGTATTCCTATGGGATTCTGATGCACACTTAGAATTGAAAAACACTTGATTCAGGAGGCTGAGGCAGGAGGATCGCAAGTATAAGGCCAGTCTCAGCAACTTAGCAAGACCCTGTCTTAAAATAAAAAATAAAAGGGGCTAGAGATGTGATTCAGTGATTAAGTGACGCTGGGTGGTTAAGCTCAGTGGTCAATCCCTGGTGCCAAATAGTAATAATAATAATAATAATTAAATAAAGAGGGCTGAGGTGTAGCTCTGTGGTAAAGTACCCCTGGGTTCAATCCCCAGTATTACAGAGAAAAAGAAAGTGGGAGGAAGGAAGGAAGGGAAGGAAGGAAAGGAACACACACACACTACTCTTTGGTAAAATGTATGTACCTGAAAGTGAGGTCAAATGCTTTTTTATGCTATGTTTTTTTTTTTTAAACATTGAGATGATTATCTTTGCATTGATTTGATGTTTTTATCATGCTGAATTATTTATAAACTTATAGACGTATCTTTGGCAATCTCTTTAGGGAATCCACCAGCAGGGAAAACAATGCTCATCCTGAATGGAGTTTTACCACTGTGCGAAAGAAGCCTGATCCAAAGAAACTACAGAACGGAGCAGTATGTATATGGAAACTATCACTTCCTCTTGATAGACTTTTTCCAACTATGTAGTGAGATTATATGGCTAAAAATTATTAGGATTCAGTACCCCTAAATATCTGTCTGCCTCATTACACATGTAGTATGCTTCATTTATCATAGTTTTTAAAAAAATTAGATGTTGATGAACCTTTATTTTATTCATTTATTTATATGCGGTGCTGAGAATTGAACCCAGTGCTTCACACATGCTAGTGCTCTACTACTGAGCCATAACACAACCCCGTATCATTAGTTTTGAGCTAATTTTAAAAGATAAAGCCATTTAAGTGGTCATTGGTATTTTAAAATGTGTTTCACCTAGAAATAATAAGCCCAAGGAATCATAGGTATCTATTGTAATTCTAGAAGAAGCCTTCTTGGTTATGGAGGGGAATTCATGATAGGAAGAAACATAGGATTTTGCTCTATCTTAGGTCTTTCCTGGGCCAAATTCAAATTAATTCACATTTGTCATAAAATAAGAAAAGCATGAATGATTATTTTAATTTTATGTGTGTAATCTATATTATTTGTTCAAAGGAGCAAGATCTTGTGCAAACTCTGAGCTGTTTGTCTATGATAATCACACCTGCATTTGCTGAAGTAAGTATAGGTTCTTGAGCATTTGATATCTATTTTAAATAGTATAGTATTTCAGATGTTACAGCTGTCATTCTTTCTCAGCTTAAACAGCAGGATGAGAATAATGCAAGCAGGAATCAGGCAATTGAAGAACTTGAGAAAAGTATTGCTGTGGCTGAAGCTGCCTGTCCTGGCATCACTGATAAAATGGTGAAGAAATTAATTGAAAAGTTTCAAAAGTAAGCTTGAAATGTCATTTTAAAAATAGTTGTATGCTTGAAAATTGTTGCCCATCTTAATCATAACTTTTGAAGTTATTTTCTGTAGACATGAGGAGGTAGTTTTCCAGTAATGAATGAATGGCCCGATTCTCCCCCGACCCCACCTTTTCTCTGCTACTAGTATAGACAAAAGGTCACTGCACATGTTCTTATTTGAGCACTTACAGTAATGTTATTTAGGAATGCTTTCTTGATACTGGGCTCAGAATTTGCAGAAACACCACATAGTTTGCAGTGCTTATGTTCCTAAGTTTGAAGGCCAATATGAAAAGTTAAGGGAAAATTTTTAGGTAGAGGACTATGTCTAGACAATACAATTGTTTGACTTCAATTTCTATACTGTATCTTTGAACTATTAATTTGATTTTACTTGAAGAACTTCTTATAACCAATTTTAAAACTATTTTATTAAATAAGACTTTTGTATGTACACAGGCAATACAGCTTAAGCAAGCTATAAAGTGATACAAATTTTACTTAAATCCATTATATTGCTTCTCAGTGCCTCTTTGTATTTCTTGTATTCATGATTTCAAGTGGGATTAAGTTGGAACAAACCATATGACCTGTAAAATCATACACTCTCAAAGATCTTTCTACCCGATAAAGCCCACTTGTATTCATAAACTCAGAATCCCTTAGATTATAATGGAAAACTCCCATCCATTTTCCAGTATGCAAAGGAATCAGTTGGAAATTGTGAAATAAAATACAGAGGGATATTTGGACTTGCTTGTGTTTTAATGTCTCTAGGACAATACTCAACTGAAAGTACCTATCTCCTTGGCTAAATCAGATCCTTCATTACAGAGTTCATATAAGTGAGAAATATAAACATGCATAATTGTACATCAAGTTATGTTTTTCTTAATTTTATAGGTGTTCTGCAGATGAATCCACCTAAGAAAGTATTTCTGGCTTCAATTTCATACGGACCCAGAGAAACCCACCAAAGCTACTTCAAGCTTAACAATGCTTAACTCGTGAGCTCCATGTGCCTTTTGGATCTTTGCATCATTGAAGATTTGGAAGAAGCTATTCAACTATTTTGTGATGGTGTTTATCATTTTATATTTTAAAGAGATTATTTTGTAAGGAAAACTTTTAATACTATAGTTTCACCTGTATTGTAGTAAATATTGAGATACAGTTTTGCTTTTAGGTATCATTATTTCTTAAGTTACTAGGATGAATACCTTTCATGTTTTGATCTTTAGTTAACTGTACACTCATAAAACATACAGGTCTTTCAACGTCATCCTAAATATTCAATTTTCGTAAATCATCGAGCTTCAAAAGTTTTTATTTACACAAGCATATTCTAAAAAGGACTATCTGTGGAAAAGTGGAAGTAAGACACATCTTCTTAAAACAAATTTTTAATAAGCTCTTTGAAACTGAACCTGGAAAAGTATTGATTCTTATACCAAGTTGGTATGAATTCCAGGCAGCTCAATGATTATCACATTTGAGAGCCCTGTGTTTGAGGCATTGACAGGCAGCATGAAGCAACAGAAGTACCTCTTGGTGTACAGTATTTATCTTTTCGTTTAGATGGAAGACACAATCAACCCTTATTTAATATGGTTAGAAATTTTAAAGCAAAATCATTTAGCCAAGGATGTGTTTTTGGTAACAATGGAGGAATTATACTGGCTTCATTTTTTAAATCTTTAAGTCAAATTACATATGCTTGGATTTAGAGAGCTTGAAAAAATGCTGATTGTCATGTGATTAAATACCTGATCAACAGGTATGAATATAATTTACACAGTATATTTTTGTCATAGCAGTAAATTGTCCTGTAAACTATTTATTCATTTTTGTTCATCATAGTTATCAGTACAAAAGCATCATATGTTCATTTCTGAAAGGGTATATCAAACATTTTCCAATTCATATAAAAATAACCATAGTACAGGATGATTTCTGTCCATTCAAAGGTAAGTTAGACTGTACAGTTAATTTTTAGCTATATTTATGGTACTTTGAGTGGATAATAACCTTCTTTCTTTTAAGCCCAGTATATATATTATGCCTGGCTGAGTGCTGAACTGGGGCTGTATATCAGTAGTTGTAGAATTATTGATATTAATTAGTTTTAATAGTTAATATTTTGTTTGGGTCTGCACACTTGGATTTTGCACAAAAATCATTTTTAAAAAGAAATCTGAGTAATTGCCAAATATTAAAAGAAAATGTTCTACAAGGAAAGAATACAGTTTTTCATCAAGGTAGCCATTACATGCTCTTTTTAAAATATAAACACTTGAGAAAATTGTGGTGTAATATGCCAAGAAATTTCTTGTCATCGGTGCCTATGCAGTAAAAATTAATTTTAGTTCATTGTATTTTGAAGTAATGGTTCAGTTAAATTTTTCACCTGCTATGTATCTGAAACACAATTAAAGTTTATAATCTGTAGCACTCTCAAAATGATTTTGCAACTCATCATGGATTAAATGAATATTTTTGTAAAAGTAAAAGCAACAAGTTTATAAATTGATTATTTGAAACTTTACAACTGCATCACAGATATGAATTGTACTGCTTATTCATTATAGTTGTTAGTCCTATAAACTGTTTCTAGGTGAAGCATACTCCAGTGTTTTGGGGGTTTTGAAAATAAATATTTAATTTCATGATCTACAATGTTTGTTTTCTTGAGGGGAGTATAATGTGTATAATCATTTCAAAACATTTCTCCTTTGACTTTTAATTTATTATTGGAACATTATAACCAAAGTTTTTATTTGAAACTAAAAGATACTCTTCACTTTTTATTTAGGATTGATTATAGCTAAAGTGACCATCTGTCCTGACTTCTGCCTCCTATCTTGACAGAATTATTAATTAAGTACCATTTCAAAAATGTCCTGGCTTAGACAATAAATTATATGGTCTCCTTAATTGCTGTTTTATTAGAAACTCATGTACAGATTTAAGCCCTATAGTTCTTAGGAAAAAACATAAATTTAGCAAAGATTTGCAGTAAAAGAGAAGAGAAATAGCATACAGCATAAAGGAGTTTGAGTTTTTTCCTAGATATAAGATTGTGGGTGAACTTCATAGCTTCGAGGATCTATATGTAAGATCCTTGAAGATCCAAGATTTAATATATAAGTGATCAGTCTTTAATTTTTAAAAAAATTCTGTGGTGCTAGGAATCAAACTCAGGGCCTTGTGCATGCTAGTTAAAAGCTCTACCACTGAGATAAATCCCCAATCCTTCAATATCTTCTTCTTATTCAATAACTACTCTAGACTTGTGAGTTATTGGATATGGTTCCAGGAGCAGAAAGGGAATGGATGGAATGAAATATATTAAAAGGGATTTTTCTGATGTAAGGGCTAGGAGAATAAAGAAACTGATTTATCTTTTCTCTATTAAGTTATATTTAAAAATAGCTTGTCTGTATAATTCCTTCCTTTCTTTGAACTTTGTGTTTAACATTATCTTGTAAATATGTTAGACTTAATATTAAGATCAGTTAACAAAATTAAGTTCTCAAGTGGAATGCTATACCTTCAGGAGGACTATTAGAGAAATTCTGAATTGATCAAGAATATAATTTTAGTTCATTTATGCAGTCTGATGTCATTACTATTTACCCTTCAATTCCATTTATCCATCCTGACCATACATTTTCACTTGCCTCCTTTTCCCTATTCTGTAACTGCTCTATCCCTTATTAATAGGCCAGAACCAATCACTTCTGAAATCGATTAAAACAAAAGGAAGACCATCCTTGTTTTTCAATTGAGTAGATTTCCATCACACTTTATTAAAAAAACATCTCATTTTCTTGCCTACATGCATGCAACAAGATATGGCCAAAAAAAAAAAAAAAACCCTCTTGGTAGAAGACATTCAGTCAACAAACTGATCTGTTAACTTGTTTCCTTCACTACATATGGTAGATGTTTAAGAATAGAAAAATTATACATCAGACATAATATCCTCATCAGCCCCATATCTGGCTGTAGAAATTGGCCTAATACATTAATTTCCTGGGCTTTAAATTCTGCCAAGTCTATATTCTAAAAACATCCATTCCATTGAGAGGATCTATGCTATCACCTTGTTTTTGAGGCTGTAGAGGGCCATGCTCCCCTAGATAAAAATGGTAAAAATCAAAGTCCTTAGCAAATAACAAGACTGTTTTTACTGGGTCCCCCACAAATAATGAGGACTGAAGTCTTTGTTCTGTATTATTTTAAAATGTACAAAATAACCAAGATAGCCACAGTCTACTTAATCACAATATGTCATTAGAAGCCAAATCCATATGTAAATCCATACTCTCACTATTCACTATTGAACAGCCTGCCCTGCATTTTTCATCACTCTATGAAGAAATATATAACAGAGCTGATAAATACTCCCCACACCCTGCCATATTACTGGGGAGGAGAGGACATGTTCCAGTTTGTTCTGAGGGAACAGAAGAGTGAAGCTCAGGGAATGAGGCAGCAGCTGGATCTTTCCAATGAAGAGTGACTAAGAAAATGATTTATAAGAAAGTTCCTTATTTTCTACCTAGGATTCTAACATAGAACTGACCCAGAAATGTTCATAGAATTCATACTTAAGCTAAGAAGTAATTACATGGTTTTAGTAAAGTCCTGTCTTCAGCACTTGGTGTGTTGAAAGAAACATCTTCATCTTCTTCATCTAGCTGGAGACTACCAGAAGACAAACGGATTCTGGCCATGGGTGACTTTTTTCCTTTGCCATACAAAGAGTAGTAGTCTGGTTTAAGAATCTCTGATTCAGAATCACTGGATTCACTAGCTACGTACCTTTCTGCTGTGCTCTGATCCATGAGAACTGCTGGGAACTCCTGCTCTGCAAACATACATGTAAATAGGTCTGCTTTACGACTCAGAGCGGGACGAGGCCCTAAAGGTCTAAATTCGGATCCAAAAGGAAAACGGATAGTTTTCATGTCTGATTGGCTCTGGGACCGTTTGGGGGTTTGCTCTTGAATGTTATATGTAAAAGCGTCTTCTAAATTTGGGTCTTCCTCTTCTGGATCTAAATTGATATTGTTCCTACCACTAGTCCTGGCCATAGCTTCTTGGAGTTCTTGAAGGTCTTGCTGAAAGCTCTTTATTCTGGTATTCCTTGGACTCCTTTTGGGTGGCTTTATTGCAGAGGGCTCTAAGTAGTTGTCTGGTCTTGCCCTTTCCTCTGCCATGACTGGAGAGCGTCTGGGCACCTGAGGTGGCTTGTCCACATAAAAAAAGACTTGGGGAGGCATAATATCCACTTGCTGACTAGTACAAGGAATATAGGGCACATCTGTGTAAGTTAGCTGCCTTACTGGACTCGCTCCGCTTGTGAGGCCAGAGGATGTGTTTATGTGATGGTCAGCAAACTTGGAGCTTGTTCGGAAGGAGCTTAGAGGACTTCTCTGCTCAAAGAAGTCTCTGGGATCAGGTTGAGGATCAGGGTCAGTGTTAAAGACAGGATCTGAATAAAGAAAAGAGAAAGATGAACTGCTTTGCGACTGATGTAACGATGTGGGATCCGCCTCTGGTTTGGAACGCTCCAGTTCAGCTGCAAACGTCACCTCCACTGCAGAGTTCCTCCTCCTACTGTCTAACACAGGTTCAGATGCGTGTACTCCATTCACATTTCGGTAGTACCCACCACCATATGCTAGTCTCAAGTCTTCCACCTTGAAAGAAAGGACATATTGGTGAAAAAAAAGGAAAAAGCCATTTGACTGGAGTGGGGATCACAGTTCTATCTTAGCCAAGAATTTTGAAAGGTAGTTTCCCACAGTTAGTTCAATCCATGTTATATTCCAGGATTGACAAATACATATGGAAGGGAGAAGAACTTGTACCATTTTCTAAATTGTGTATTAAAAAGAATATGACAGACTATTCTTTCTCAGTTACATCCCATTTCTGGCCTCCAAGAATGCAATAGACTTGAGGCAACATTGTACTTCAAGCAGTTTTCGTTTAGTAGCTCTTATCAATGAACCAGAAAACCTGCCTGGTCCTGACTCTGCTTTTGTCTTGCTTTTGTGTGACCTTAGACAAGTTTCCTAAACTTTCTTGCTCCAGCCTCCTCCCTATTTTCTGTAAAATGTTTGGAAGCAAGTCTATGAATGGCATGAAATTTTCATATACTGGATAGAACCTTTCATCATTATACCTCTGATACCTTTTGGATAAAAACTGACTTGAAATGAAGGCATGAGAGTTTATGAGACCTATAATTAATTTTTTTTAAAGAGAGAGAGAGAGAGAATTTTTTAATATTTATTTTCTAGTTTTCGGCGGACACAACATCTTTGTTTGTATGTGGTGCTGAGGATCGAACCCGGGCCGCACGCATGCCAGGCGAGTGCGCTACCGCTTGAGCCACATCCCCAGCCCCAATTTTTTATATAATTAGTTTTTGTAGAAAGATCCAAAGAAAAGTGATTAACAAGATTGATACTATAAAACTAGCAACTTTCTCCTTCACTTAAACACAGTTAAGCAGCAAAATTATTTTAAAACCTTAACACAGACCTCTTACCTTCCTGTAAGCCTTAAAATTTCCATAGGAAGAAAAGCAGAGCTTTTAGTTTTAAAAATACAAAGCCATAGAAATTGATTTGGATCTTCATTTTGCAAGATGTTAACAATACTGGTTACAATTTGAAAATGTGCCAGAGCCTTATAGTCTATAAGGTACACACCAGTGGGAGTTTACTAAATGGTCTTCTATTGGCAGGAAAGGTTGAGCCCGGCAGCCCTCCCCAGGAGGCTAACCTTCTGGAACAGAATAACCCTTAGACACAGTGGGAGATTGTGCAGAATCAATTTTTGGGAGCATTTGAAATTTGGATGAATTACATGTATTTAAAGAAGTAGGAATTTTCAGAAATCTTACTTGTTTTGACACATCAGAGAGGATGTCTGGTGAAGACCTGCACTGTCGTTCATGGTACTGAGACGGGTAATGCTTTCTGAAATCCCCAAACAGAGAAGTCATTGAAATGGCTGACATGGGAATAGCGGGATATGTATGAAACTGTACATTCAACTTGAAGTCAGCATGAGAGTGAGAAACAAAAGCATGTACCTTTCAAATGGCAAGCTCTTCAACTGCCGTTTATTCCCATATTCCAAAAGCTGCCTTTGGGTTCTTCCACTATTAGAAAGATGAGTTCAAATAATTAATTAATAATCCAATAAACTACTAAAACTCGAGCCTCAGTTACTGTTGAAACCAAAAGCATCTAGATGAATGACATAGGTCATGACTTGTTGAAGATCACATGAATGATAATGCCCACTTATCCAAGAACCAGGAAGAGAGCAACCTTAACTACATAGAACCCAGACATTTCTTTTTTTAAATTATTTTTTAGTTATGGTTGGACACAAAACCTTTATTTTATTTATTTTTTAATGTGGTGCTGAGGATCGAACCCAGGGCCTCTCACATGCTAGGCGAGCGCTCTAGTGCTGAGCCACAACCCCAGCCCCCCCCAGACATTTCTTTTCTACAAATTTAAAAAGTCAACTGACTGGGGCTGGGGTTGTGGCTCAGAGATAGAGCACTTGCCTAGTACACGTGAGGAATTGGGTTAGATTCTCAGCACCACATAAAAAAATAAGTAATTAAAGGTATTGTATCCATCTGAAACTAAAACAAAAATTTTTTAAAAAGTCAACTGACTGATTATCTGTTTCCCAAATGCATGGCAGGAAAAAAAGCAGCTAACTAAACAGCAGAAGAAGATAGCTCAAGTCAGTTGTACACTAGCAAAGAAATGCAGCTGACTGGTGGGAGAAACAAGAGCCAAGAAAGATATCACAAAAATAATAAAACCCAGAAAGTCTGGGCCATTTATCACTGAAGTGCAAGGCCTGACTTGCCTCCCCCACCCTGAGGCCGTCACTGCACTACAGCTGCCTGCAGAGGATAATAAGTGATGTTTATAATAACTCAGGTCATTAAGGAAAGGGCAAAATATGCACAGTATCATCTGTTCAAGAAGACAGGGATTTGTAGAATACATTTTGGAAAGATTCCATCAAAAATACGTTCTTAAAAATACCTCAGTTCTTACTGGGGCAGACTTCCACTGTTTGACGAATTCCTTATGTGGAAGCATTAGAAATTAGAATTTTTTATCTTAGCTAAGAGCTTTGAAAGCTTCTTGCAGTGCATTCCTAGGCTGGTGTTTTCAAGTAAAAACAAGATCTTAATTCGACCTCACTTCCATTCCTCCAAGGTGTGACCTGTAGTGAGGAGCTGTTAGTGTAATATTGCTCAACATTTTTAATCCCTTATCCCCTCCAGTGCTTTCTTGCTCTTTTGCCTAACATCACCACAAGGATGTTGTTGATCTTTCCTTTCCAAGTCTTGCATATAAGTCGCATATAAGACAAACAATAGGTTCATTGAATATATTTTCTCAAACTGCTTATGCCCCCTCATCTTTGTTGTGATTCTGATCCAACCCCTTAGGTAGGTAAGCCCCCATCCCCCTGCCTTCCAGTTGGGAAATATTGACTTAGAGCATCTTGCCAAAAGTGAGCAGTAAAGAGTACAATTTTTCAAGTGACTGAAATAAATTCTTTTTTTTTTTTGGGGGGGGGGGTACTAGGAATTGAACCCAAGAGCACTTAACCCCTGAGCCACATCCACAGCCCTTTTTATTTTTTTATTTAGAGGCAGGATCTCACTGAGTTGATTAGGGCCTCACTTAGTTGCTGAGGCTGGCTTTGAACCTGCAATCCTCCTGCCTCACTTTCCCAAGCCGCTGGGATTACAGGCGTGTGCCACTGTGACTGGCTGAAATAGATTCTATATTCCTTCTAGAATTTGAACAACTCCTATTAACTCCCATGTTATTAAAAAGAAGTAGTATACTACTGCATGGTATTTAATTACCTATAGCGGAAACTGGAACCCTTGCTGCAAAGTAGAGTTTTGGGCTTTGATTTGGGCTCTTCAGAAAGCCTGAAGAAGGCATGATACTCCACACAGGTCTTCCAGAAAGCTTTGCAGGCATCTCGGCTGGCCATTGTGAACTCCAAGGTGTCCTTGCACAACGCCTATATAAAGCAATTTACATCTAGCAAAACATCCTTCCAGAATATTAAAGACTTTGGGATCCCAATGCCTTCCAAGCTTTTGGTCCCAGGGACTATAGGGCTTCTGATTTCCCACTCGGCTCCCCATAGGCTTCACACCTACTGAGACCAAATGATTGGCAACCTTCAGAGGAACAGACAGGGCCACTGCTCTCAAATAGAGCCTTCTCTAAAAGCCAGTCTTGCTTTACATACTAGCCTTAGACACTGTTTAACCCCCACCCCTTCTCTGCCAGGAACATTTTTATGAAGTTGTAAATCAGGTTAAAATGAACATCAAAGGGCATCCTTTCAAGGTGACAAGAAGTTATAAATGACCAACAGGAAAGGGGAGGGAAGAGGAGATTTCCTTACAGATGGAAGGGTTTATAGGATGATTACATGTCCATGAGGCTTTTTAACTTACCAGCAAGAAACACTTCTTCCTCTAGATGCTATCTTGTTCTATGATGTTCTGTGTTGCTCTTTTAACATATTTCAATCTGTCTTTGGGGACCTTGGCCTTCCAAACCTAAAGTTCAAGATCTTCCCATCCCCTGACTCACTATATACCCCCTTTAGCCCAAGGTTACATGGCATGATTACAGCCACATTTTCCACAGCCCCACCAACCCACTGCACTGACCTCCCCACTTGTCTCATTTCTTTCCAGGTTCCTACTTGCAGCCCCTAGGGCTGACCATGAATTTCCCACTGGATCCAGTCTCCTTAACTGCTCAAATGAACACTTTAATATAATGCCAAGATTCAGAGAATGAAGCCCAAACTGGACCTTCTGTAGGTCAAAAATTATTTGATACACATGTTTAATTTCCTTTATGGTTATAAAACAATATCATTTCTCACATCTTTGTCTCATCTTGTATGATGCAAACTTGCCCAATGATTGCTTATTTTGCTTATGTGTATACCCACTTCTCATATCCTGCTTGGCTTTGGCATGTAGTAGATACTCAACAATTTCTTTCTCAAGGAAAATAGGTAAAGTTACAGAGGAAAGCAGGAGGGGAAGGGAAAGGGGGAATTGAATTTGAATTCCATGAATATATGAAATTTTCAGCATGAACCAATTACTATGTAATTGTATAATGCTCTAATAAAAACAAATAAACCTCTAAAAAAGATATATGTTGTAAAATGCAGTGGAGAACGTCAAGTGATTATGTCCATAGTCCTAATTCTAATCATTCATTCCCATTTGACTCATCAAACCCCTCAAAAACTATTTCCACAGAGATTTCCCTTACTTTACTCATTCTGAACTACAAATCAGATTTCTTAGTGTTTTGTCTTTGCTAATAGTGTGAGTAAAGCTCTGGTTGGTTATGTAGAGGCAAGAGAGGGGGCATATCACCCCTCAGGGCTGGTCAGCTTTTCACCACTTATATTCAAAACATTTGCAGAAGCAACCAAGAAATTCCAAATGAACAGAAAAGCAAAAGAATTTATTAGAAATCTACTTACCAAGATATTGGCATGAAGTTTGATAAGAAAATGTTTTCTCTTAAAACTCAACTTTCGGATTTTAGCCCAGTTGAAAGTATTGATCTTTGTATTTCCCTGTAATAAAACATGTAGCTGACTTTAGGCTGTGTACGCAAAATTTGGCTTGTAAAACAGGGCAAATATGATTGAAAATGCACTTCATAAATAGGACTGTGGTGTGTGTGTGTGGGGGGGGGTACTGGGGATTGAACCTAGGGGTGATTTACCACTGAGCTACATCACCAGTCCTTTTAAATTTGTTTTTATTTTGACACAGGATCTTGCTAAGTTGCTGAGGCTGGCCTTGAACTTGTGATCTTTCTGCCTTATCTTCCTGAGTCTCTGGGATTACAAGCATGTGCCACAGCCCCTGGTGAATGAAACTATTTCTGATCCATCTCTTGCATAGAATGATCCTGTTGAGCTAAGTAGAAGCTATGGCCAGGTGTTTCAGGTGGGCCACAAGGCTGCTCTGGGGATGGTTTCTGGCTTAGACAGTGAGATCACAGTAGAAATGGATTATTTTAATAGGTTCATGAAACTCACTTCTTTCCCATGTTTCCAGAGTCAGCTGCTAAAAAAAAGACATATTTCTCCTGCCACCCCATTTACCCAAATACCTTCAATAATTCCTCACTGCCTGCATCATCAAATCTTGGCTGAGTTTTCCTGTTACTTTTCTATTGAATATACAGCTGTCTTTCCCACTGCTCCCCCTCACAAAAAAACACTCTTTCATTCAAATCTACACCTTTCTCCTATAGTCTCTTCATTCTCCTTATTCAACATACCTTCCACATAGACAAGAATTCTTACCAGCTTTGATAGCACCTTCTTGAGAATATTCGTTTTCTTTGAAGAAAAGATTCACTTTTTTTGGTACCAGGGATTGAACCCAGGAGCACTTGACCACTGAACCACATCCTCAGCCCTATTTTGTATTTTGTTTAGAGACAGGGTCTCACTCAGTTGCTTAGTGCCTCACGATTGCTGAGGCTGGCTTTGAACTCACGATTCTCGTGTCTCAGCCTCGCAAGCCACTGGGATTACAGGTGTGTGCCACTGCACCCAGCTGAAAACATTCACTTTTTAAATTAGTGTTTTAGCTGTTTATAAAAACTTAAAATTGATATATGTTAATGGGGTACCATGTGATGTTTCAATACATATATAATTGTGCAATGTTCCAGCCAGGTTAATTATATCTATTTCATCAAATATTTTTTGAAATATTTTTAGTTGTAAATGAACACAATACATTTATTTATTTATTTATTTTTATGTGGTGCTGAGGATCGAACCCAGTGTGTCACACATGCTAGGCAAGTGATCTACCACTGAGCTAAAGCCACAGCCCTCACCAAATATTTTTATGATGAAAACATTCAGGGGCTTGGGCTGTGGCTCAGAGGCAGACTGCTTGCCTAGCATGCATGAGGTACTGCGATCCTCAGAACCACATAAATGTAGAATAAAGACATTGTGTCCACCTCTAACTAAAAAACAAAAAAAAATTAAAAAAAAAAAAACATTCAGGGGCTGGGGCTGCGGCTCAGAGGTAGAGCGCTCGCCTAGCATGCGTGAGGCCCTGGGTTCGATCCTCAGCACCACATAAAAGTAAAATGAAGATATTGTGTCCACTTAAAACTTAAAAAATAAATGTTAAAAAACATTCAGAATACTTTTTCTAGCTTTGTTGAAATATGTAAGACATAAATGTTATCCATAGTCATCCTACTGTGAATAGCACACCAGAGCTTTTTCCTCCTATCTAATTGTAACTTAGTGCACATTGATCAACTTCTCCTCATCCTTCCCTCCCTCTATTTTTCCAGTCTTTGGGAACCATTACTCTCAACTACAACATCAACTTTTTTAGTACTTTCATTTCTGTCCCTGGCTTACTTCACTTAACATAAGAGCCTCCAGTTCCATCCATATTGTTGTAAATGACAGGATTTCATTCTTATTATGACTAAATAGTATCCCATCTTCTATATTTTTGTACATTTTCTTTATCCATTCATCAGTTAATAGAGGCTTAGGTCATTTTTTAAAATATTTTTTAAATTGTAGGTGGACATGATACCTTTATTTATTTTTATGTGGTGCTGAGGATCGAACCCATGGCTTCACATATGAGAGGCAGGTGCTCTACCACTCAGCTACAGCCCTGGCCCTCGTTTCGTTTTTATTATTATTTTTATTTATTTTTTATTCTAATTTGTTATATATGACAGTAGAATGCATTACAATTCATATTACACATATAGAGCACAATTTTTCCATTTCTTTTCGATTGTGAATGCCTTCTCTAGAATATTCTTATTCCTGCAGCCTATTTCCCTTTCTAACTCCCCTGTACTCTCTTGGATCTCCTGGTCTGCCTAAACAGCTTACCTTGTTTGTTCATTTATTTGTTTGTTCAAGAGGTAATCCATTCACATGGTTGAAAACCAAAAGCACACACAAAAGATAAATAGTATTGAAGGCAAGTTTGAGGCCAGTCTCAGAAACTTAAGCAAGACCCTGTGTCAAAAAAATTAAAAAATCTGGGGATGGTGGAGTGCCCCTGGGTTCAATCCCTAGGACTCCCTGCAAAACACACACACACACATACACACACACACACACACAGACACACGGAAAAAAAAGATATGTAGCATTGAGAAGTTTCACTCTCACCACCATCACCCCTACTCTTGTTCCCACCTAACCATTCCCTATAAGCACCACATATATTAGTTTGTTGATTATTTAAAAGTCTGATAGCACTATTGGGACCAAGTCTTTCTCACATTCAATGTTAGTTTCTTGACTGCCTTTTGTCTGTTCGCTCTTTAGTTTCTTGACTGCCTTTTGTCTGTTCGCTCTTTCTTTGAAACAACCTTCCTTAACTCCCAACTCTGGCCCTGTGGCCTGGATAACTTCCTCAGGTCTTGGCTTAAATGTTAAGGCCCTCTCACCTGTTATCTTAGTGCCCTACACTTCTAGCTCATACTCCTGGCCCTTGTTTGTAATTACTTATTTAACTATCTGTCTTCTCCTCATTAGAAACCAAGTGCTATGAATTCAGGATCATTCTTATCTACCTCTGTAGCCCTAGTGCCTGGTACAGAATGCACAAAGAATATACTGAAATAAAGGATGAATGAATAAATGGCTTCCTAACTCCCTAAATAACTAAAAACTACTGACTTGCACACTTTAAAACAGTTTAATTTTATAGGATGTAGTCGATGCCCTTCAGTAGATGAATGGATAAAAAAAATGTGGCATATATACACAATGGAATATTACTCAGCAATAAAAGAGAATAAAATCATGGCATTTGCAGGTAAATGGATGGAGTTGGAGAAGATAATGCTAAGTGAAGTTAGCCAATCCCAAAAAACCAAATGCCGAATGTTTTCTCTGATATAAGGAGGCTGACTCATAGTGGGGTAGGGAGAGGGAGCATGGGAGGAATAGACGAACTCTAGATAGGACAGAGGGGTGGAAGGGAAAGGGAGTGGGTAGGGGGTTAGCAAGCAACGATGGTGGAATGTGATGGACATCATTATCCAAAGTACATGTATGAAGACACAAATTGCTGTCAACATACTTTATATACAATCAGAGATATGAAAAATTGTGTTCTATATGTGTAATAAGAATTGTAATGTACTCTGTTGTCATATATTTTAAAAACCCTTTTAAAAAAATAAAGAATATGATAAAGAACACAGAGGGCTGGAGTTGTGTCTCAATGGTAGAGCACTTGCTGAGAATGTGTGAGGCATTGGTTTCGATTCTCAGCACCACATATGAATAAATAAATAAAATACAGATATTGTGTGCATCTACAACTAAAAAAAAACACTTTAAAAACAAGAACACAGAGATAAATATCTATTCTTTGACTGAATTTAGGGTAGAGACACAACATATTCTAAGTAACATCAGCTGTATTGTTCCCAACTGCCTACAGAAATATTCACATTGAAAGAAATCACAAGCAACATGGTAGCTCTACCTTGCTACCATTCCCATCTTTTCCAGTGCAGTAAGAAATGGCAAGGACCAGGGGTTAGAGTGGGAAGGGTAACAAGGCCCTCCTGGATAAACACATATACCTGTGATCCATTGAGGCTTTTAAAATTTGTTCTTTTTAGGTATATATGACAATAGAATGTATTTTGACATATTATACATATATGGAGTGTAATTTTCCATTCTTGCAGTTGGACATGAAGTGGAGTTACACTGGTGGTGAATTCATAATCGAACATAGGAAACTTATGTCCAATGTATTCCATTGTCTTTCCTATTCCCATGCTCCTCCTTTCCCTTCATTCCCCTTTGTCTAACCCAATGAACTTGTATCCCCACCTTATTGTGTGATAGCATCTGCATATCATAGAGAACATTTTGTCTTTGGCTTTTTGGGATTTGCTTATTTTACTCCATTGAGTCTTTTGCTCATCAGTGTGACTGACTCTCATGCTGAAAAGTTTATAACCAAATAAATGAGAAGGCCAAGATTCTCTTAGCTGAATCCTTACATGACCTGTTTGGTAACTCCAGAGTTCTAATTTGGTCTTGGGGGTCAGTGGGCCTTAGGTCATCTCCCTTCTCTCTTACAAGTGATTTATTCACAACAAAGTCCTGGGAAAAGAATGAGCCAGTAAATAGCAACAGTCAGTGGTAAAGCTGAGCACTAATGCCCTACCAGCTAGCACTGGGCACCTCCATTGCAAACAGAAATGAACAGAAGCATTACACATTTTGGACCCCTCAAGGTGTCTCTGGAGGTCCTGGACAGTGTCACAGCCTACATTTTTTAGATGCCCTAATATACTTGCTCTAGAAGTTCCAAAGAGCTTCTTGACTTTACTTCCCTACCATGCTGGCCTCAACAAATGTGTGAACCCCTTAGAATGTAGATAGTTATTTATAGATTACACCTTGAAGCAAAGTGCATTGAGGGGAGATGGCTTACCCCAGACCTTTCCAAGCATTATTTCCCTTTCTAGCAGTTGGTAAAACTGAGTATTGTGATCACCCAGGGAACAGACACCCAAGTTTGAGTGGAGAAAACCTGTCAAGCTGAAGGACTTTGAAGGAAAGAGTTGTTACCCGTAACACCAGGACTCCCATGTGTGCAACAGCCAGGTGAATCTGCATTCCTTCACCATCACTGGCAGGGTGGGGCCTGATGCCATACATGTCCAGTTTCCTTGCTATGTCCAGTAGTAGAATATCAGATTCAGCTGGATTTTTGCCACTGCAAGGGGAAAGAATTTACGAGCCTAATAAATCCAGCACGCATGACACCTCCACTCTGAGAGCTCCATGAGGAGGTCAGTGTTTTCTTGAGCCTGAAGCTTCTCAGGCTTAAGGGCTTGCTTTCAAGAATCTGTTCCCAGCTTTAGTGTCCTCCATTGGGGAAGCAGGTGCCAGTTAAAGTACTTACATGTGCTTCTGATGAAAGTCCATGATCTTGCTCTCTAAACAGTCTTGGTTTGGTAAGTACCGGCTTTGTGCCAGATGTTTCTTGACTGTTTCTTCATGAAAGTCTCCCAGTTCTGCTGCATGACAAAAGAAAGTGACATTTTTTCACATTACCATCGAGGAACTAAGCAACTCAGCCATTGCAAACAGAAATGAACAGAAGCACAGCACATTTTGGACCCCTCAAGGTGTCTCTGGAAGTCCTGGACAGTATCACAGCCTACATTTTTTAGATGCCCTAATATACTTGCTCTAGAAGTTCCAAAGAGCAAACTCAGCCTAATGATCTCCCCCAAATAGTTTTTTCTTTGCAGTTAGTTGTAGCTCCATGCCTCTGACTTCATGCTATACATATATGTGTATTTCTGTAGGGGAGGACCGACTGGCTATTTTTCAAATTATGAGCAGTTGGTATTGATGTTTCAGTATAGTAAGTTACAGACATTGTGTCCATCTACAACTAAAAAAAAAATTAAAAATAAGAACACAGGAGAGGAGCACCGGCCTGCTGAGAGGCAGAGCCGCCCCCCACCCCTCGCGCCTGCCAGGTAGGCGGAACTGTGACCACCAACAGAAAAGGCCCAGTGGCCCGCGGCGGGACAGAGCTTCCAATCACTCCTGCAAGGTAGGCGGGCCTGCGACCCACCGGCAGAAGAGGAGCAGCGGCCTGCTGAGAGGCAGAGCCGCCCCCTCCCCCCCGCGCCTGCAAGGTAGACGGAACTGTGACCACCATCAGAACAGGCCAGTCCTGCAACCGACAGACAGAACAGGCCCAGTGGCCTGAGGAAGGGTAGAGCCGCCCCGCCCCCCGCACCTGCAAGGTAGGTGGACCTGCGACCCACTGGCAGAACAGCCCCAGAGGCCTGCAGAGGGGCAGTGCTGCTGCCTGCGCCTGCAAAGTAGGCAGAACTGCGACCACTGACAGAACAAGCCTAGCGGCCCGCAGAGGGACAGAGCCGCCGCCCGCGCCTGCAAGGTAGGTGGACCTGCTACCGACCGGCAGAGCAGGCCCAGCGGCCTGCCGGCGTGGTAGGCACATTGCCCCAATTGGAGGAGGGGCAGAGCCGCCGCCCGCGCCTGCGAGGGAGACTTTGCAACTATACAAGACCAATATAAATATATAGGGGGAAAATTCAATAGCACAACAGTTTCACCAAGAAGAAAGGAACGCAAACAGTATGAAGAGACAAGGAAAGAAAGGACCACAAGCATTGCAGGTCAACTCAACGTTAGAAGAGGTAATAGCTGCAGCAGATGGAATGTCAGATAAAGAATTCAGGATATACATGCTTCAGATGATCTGGAGTCTCAAGGAAGACATCAGACAGCAAAATCAGACAATGAAAGATCACTTCAACAATGAATTACATAAACAAATCCAAGAAGCAAAAGATCAACTATACAGGGAGATAGAGGTTATAAAAAACAAACAAACAGAAATCCTAGAAATGCAGGAAGCAATAAACCAACTTAAAAACTCAATGGAGAATACTACCAGCAGAGTAGAACACTTAGAAGATAGAACATCAGACAATGAAGATAAAGTATTTCAACTTGAAAAGAACATAGACAGCTCAGCAAGAATGTTAAGAAACCATGAGCAGAACATTCAAGAAATATGGGATAACATCAAGAGACCAAATTTAAGAGTCATTGGGATACAGGAAGGGACAGAGTTTCAAACCAAAGGAATGAGCAATCTATTCAATGAAATAATACGAGGAAACTTCCCAGACTTGAAGAATGAGACAGAATCCCAAATCCTAGAAGCCTATAGGACGCCGAAAGTGCAAAATCATAAGAGACCCACACCTAGACACATTATAATGAAGATGCCCAACATACAGAATAAGGAGAGAATTTTAAAAGCTACAAGAGAAAGGAAGCAGATCACATTTAGGGGTAAGCCAATCAGGATAACAGCTGATCTTTCAACACAGACTCTGAAAGCTAGAAGATCCTGGAATAACATATTTCAAACACTGAAAGAAAATGGGTTCCAACCAAGAATTGTGTTTCCAGCGAAATTAAGCTTCAAAATGGAAGATGAAATTAAAACCTTCCACGATAAACAAAAGTTAAAAGAATTTGCAGCTAGAAAACCATCTCTTCTAAACATCCTTGGCAAAACATTACAGGAAGAGGAAATGGAAAATAACAATGAAAACCAACAGTGGGAGGTAGGACAGTAAAGGGGGGAAAAATAATCAAAGAGGAAAACAAACCATGTTTAGTAACATAAATAAACAAATATGGCTGGAAGAACAACCCATATCTCAATAATAACCCTAAATGTTAATGGCTTAAACTCACCAATCAAGAGACACAGGTTAGTAGAATGGATCACAAAACAAGACCCAACAATATGCTGCCTACAGGAGACGCATTTGATAGGAAAAGACATACATAGGCTGAAGGTGAAAGGTTGGGAAAAATCATATCACTCATATGGACTTCGGAAACAAGCAGGAGT